AATGCAGAAAGCTGCTAACTCACTTAATTGGGCACACGCAACCCTTCATCGTAATCTCTAACAAAATATTTTAGAGAAATAAATTCCTCAACAAATAATACTGTCACCGCTCGGCTGTAAACATCGGAGGTGTAATTTTATAAAAAAAAATTGGTATAAGAACAGCAAAAAGATGTTTCTCGAGCGAGTCACTGGCAAGGGTGAGACGATCGTGGTTTCTTCGGTGCTGGGGTGAAAACTGACAAGGACCTGCACTTAAAAGGCATATTGATGGCCGTATTGAAGCAATGATCCGACCTCACTTCCTTCCAGCTTGTGGTCCTTCCTCCATGACAGTACCCTAGCCAGCAGATCTAAACTCACGCGGGGTTCCACCGACGCTAGCTACCCCGACTTCATTGGCAAAGGTGAATGGTTATCCTGCTTTCCAGGTCTCCATTCACTTGACTCTCCGTATGGTCCCTGATTAGAAGAGAATCTGCTAGGTTTGAGGTCCCAGTTTCGAGTCCTAGAAAGCAAAAACCACGAATGGCTGCGAAGAAATGGTGGAGGGTACCCGCAACATGTGCGAAGTTCTAGAGCAAAATTTGAGCCTCTATTCGTACTCATAGGAGATATCTTGAAATGTGATTGTAGCATGTTGTAGCACATAATGTTAGCTAACGTACATAAAGATTGCATTGTCATTCTCCGCTAAGAAGCTTCAAAAGGATTGCCATGAATTAGCGGTCATGATTTTGGGGCACCCTGTATATCCATTAGACTGGACAAATGCCTCATTCTTCTTACCTTAAAGCGTTGTAAACCTAATCAAAGAAAACACAATCCAAACATGCCACTGCTGACGGAGCTTCAAAATCAGACCGGTTAATCGTTTCAGGTGACAGGAGCCGTGCCTATATCTCAAATGCAGTAACGGGTGTTCAGACAGTTTCATCTGAGTATTGAGGTCAACTATTGGTACAGTTCTTCAAATAACGGATCCGGTCATTATACAATACATTTGCATCCTGCCTAATAAAAGTTAGCAGTGTTTCCAGCAATTTATGGAGAAAAGTTACGATTCTGAGGTTGATCTCCCCTGTCTAAACTTGAAGACCCTTCTCGCACTTGTACTTCAATAGAAAATTGTTTTCGTAAATATAACATAACTATTTCGCAGTTTGAGCTGCGCTTTTGCTTGCGATAGAGGAAAGGCATTTGATTTCAAAAACGCTCTCGATGGTCTTCCACCTCCACAGAATCTGCATGAAAAGAAATCAAGCAATCTCAAAACACATTCAGACGGAAATCTAGTAGTAACCTTTTTAACAAAATATAATATACAGTTTGTTGAGGTTGCATCGGCCTTCAATAGAAAAGTCGACATAAGCAGGGCATATAAAATCGGAGAGGACTTTCCGACAAACCCCTACATTAGGTTGATAGGAATCTCTTGAGACCCAAAGTTGCGTGTATGGTCGCTCCGCTACAAGAGCCTTTGTCCCCATTAGACCATCATCACATTCTAAGACAATCTCAGAGTACCACTGACAATATTCAAATAGTCCGTCAAGCGCTGTTCTAGTAAACCGTATCACATTCATCCATGAATCTGCTTCAGAAAATCGTCTCCTATGGAAGGTGGCGCTACTCCAGTGCTCTTTCTGCTGCCTCCATCGTCAGCAATGCACGATGAAGAGGTTCTATGCAGCCAGCTATGTGGTCGTTAATCGTTTGGTCGTTCGTTATCATCCTAGAGACATGACGCTCCTCGACGATTCTCACGACCACTTCCGATCGATGAGTGCCGACTTCCCAACGAAGTGAAGAAGACTGAAGACTACGAGCAGCTGGACAGTTAGCGAACTTTCTCGATTGCGATCAGAACAACGCCACTATGCACCTTCACAAGCACAGCTACACAGTGACCCGAAATTATTGCTACAAGATTCTGACCGAGCAGTGTTACACATTGAACTCGATATACTGTAAATCTGATGTATTATTAGTAGAAAGTGATGACTTATCATTATCATTAAACCACTGAGTTTCATCAAATCTGAATAGTTAGTCCAAGGTTGTACGCGCTAATCCTATACATGACGCCATTGTGCACTCACACGATGCAAACCACACCCCATCCCTCATCGCGAAGAAGCTCTCTGTCTGCCGTCTCCCCTCTAGAAAAAGCCTCTACGGGCTCTCAAGAGGTACTATGAGACTGGTGCGACTGCCGACTGAATACGCACCCAACGACCTCTGCTAACCGAAGGGCCGTCAGAAGCGCATCGACAGGAATCCTGGTCGCAGCATGCAGAAAATGGCCAGGAGCTCAAAATCTCACGACAATCCATCGCAATGTTTGTACACGACCACCTTAGGCCTTATCCTTACGAGATCAGAAGATGCCATGACCTTACGGAGAAGAATAAAGCCGTCTGGCTCGCAAGATAACGAGCCATGCTTGCGCGAACCGCTGCTGGGGAGCACCTGGTGTCCGTCTTCTCCAGCGAGAAGATGTTCACCGTGCAGGCAGCAGCGAATGCCCAAAATATGCGGGTGCTCACTTCATCCCCTCAGCAGGCCGATTCCAGGTAGAGAGTCGTCTCTCGGATCTCTCACCCTGCCAGCGTGATGGTATGCCCACAGCTGGAAAACTCCGCTCGTTTTCAACGATACTGGCGTGAAGATCGACACGAGCCATCACATCGAATTCATCTCGGAGAAGGAGCTACTGCATTGCAGCTAGGCACACTCCAAAAACCAGCACTGGGTTTTGAACAAGACCCGCACCCGCGCACAAGCCGTCGAAGGCTTGTGCGTGGCCAAACTGCCGGCCTTCATCCCTGCCGAGGAGTGCCATCCGTCTCCCTCGACCTCAACACATTGGACTACTCTGTGTGGTCGGTGCTCGAGCAGTAGGCCTGCTTCACTCCCACAGAGGTACCGACTGGCACAAGTCAACTTTGAAGAAGGCATGGGAATACAATCGTCGTCAAATACGTGCGATCCGTCTAATACTCGTACCCTAGACGTCTGAAAGTGAAGGCTGTCGTGAAGGTCAGAGGAGGTCATCTGGACGTAATAAACTATGTAAGCATTGCGGACGATAAATGGTTTTCTCCGCGTAACAACATTTTTTGGCCACCCTGCACAAGGAAGTACTTGCATAATGGATTACGCATCAACTGACCGATGATTTCAGCCCCAGGCATGTCTCAAACAAACAGCACCGATCGTGAGATGTTTCTGCGGGAGCCCAAGCCACGACAGCGCCCAACAAAGATTTTAATATGCAACTTCTAAGTCTCGATGGTAATGCTATAGCACGAGTTGTTTTCTCAAGGTCACTTACCAGTTAGTCGCAGCTAGTATTATATGAAGAGTAAGCTTTAGGATATCGTTCATGCGATTGGAAATAAGCGACTGAGAAATATTCCTGCTCATCTTATGCATGTTGAGTATGGCGAAGACCATGCAATCCAGTTTAGGAAACTTTGGAAAAAAAAACTGCGGGGAACTCGACAGAAACATCTTCCTCACTCTCCCTATTTCCCTCTCCTTACCCATTCTATCTCCTTTTTCGACATCAGTGTGATATATTAAAGGCACGGTTCACGATAAAAAAGGTTACTGAGTTCTTCCTTTCGGAATACTCAGCGCCCCTCATGGGTGGTAGAAGGGAC